ACAGAAACCTGGCTTTCTCACCAATTCTTTGACAATGAACTCTTCCTTCCTAATTACTCAGTTTTTAGATCAGACCGCGAATATATTATTTATGTTACAAAGCACGGCGGAGTTCTAATTGCACGGCTGAGTTCTAAAAAACTATCTAATATCTCGAGAAATTTTTCTAACGAAAGTTATTAAAGGTGCTGTTGTTACATGCTCCCTTATTTTCCATGAACGTCAAATTATGCTAATTTGTTTTTACAACCCTGCAGTATCTCCAACGAACAATGTATATCACATACCCCAAGAAAAGGTATTGGAACTATTTAACAGAATCATTACCTTATCTCGAAATTATGAACACTTTATAATATATGTTGACATCAAAATGCTGAATGTTGATTGGAACAATTACACCTCAACCTGTGATCAAACTCAACTTTTCCTTGACCGAATGATTGATTATAACATGCAACAAGAAGTTAACTTTAAAACTGCTTCATATGGAATTCTAGATTGCCTATTTGTTAATTCGAAGACCGAAGTAATCTTCTGCAAAAATGCAAAGACGAAAAATCAAATTGTCTCCCAAATCATGATGCCATCTTAACAAAATAAAAGTTTCAAAGTTTTTCCCCAACGTTCACGAGACAAGCTACTGTCCCTAAATCATATGGTTATTGCAATGCTGATTTTGACCAGATGAATTCCCACATACTGAACTACTTTTGAAGCAATTTGTTGAGCAATGTTTGTGACATTCGACCAGAATTGACGAAAAGACAATCACGAAGGACTATCAGCTAACCTTCCAAATTAGCAGTTTTAGAGGATTAACAGTGTTATTCAGACAATTAGTCAAATCGTGAAGGCTGAAGGATTCGGAATTTCTTAAATTTTAAAAATTCGAATTGTGACGTCACACTTCCGGGCGAATGTTACATAGATGTCTTTATGGCGCTCCTGGGTGTTATTCTTTTTTATCATCATGACGGGCACGCACAACCGTTAACGAGCACTCCGCGCCGAGCGGATGCTCATAATAACGCCCTTAATAGGCCCTGACCGCCGGGGCGGAAGGGTAGTTCGGAACGCGGAAGCCTTCCGGATTACCGTGAATAGCTTTTTAAACCAGTTAAGACCAAAAATTCACGTTCCAGGAAGGGTGGGGGGATCGGCCGTCCCCTCGTTCCCTGAGAGGTTAGTGATCAAAAACACTTAAAGATATATAAGAAACCGAACAAAAAGTAGTATAGTACCCAAGAAAAATAAAAAACATAAAAAAATAACCGAAAAAACCAAAAACAGTAGAAAATCAGTAGAAATTATCCCCCCCCAGACAAGATGTGATCCTACCCTCCCAATTGTTGTTGATAGATATATTGTTGTTACAGGCATTTATATCAATCAGGATTGTTACGATCATTTTTGTGGCCCGTTTTTGAGGCTTGTACTGTAGGGTTATTTGAGTATTTAAGCACGTTAAAGCTAATTTGCGCTCAATCTGGAAGGGTATGCTGATTTGCGCTCAATCCGGAAGGGTCTCGGGATTAGTGGGAAGACTGATCCGGCAAGCAGTACAAGGAGTGACAAGAGGGGGCTCAACGACAGCAACAGTCGACTGTTGGGTATCGTTAACAAGTTTTGTATCCCTTATGGTACAAAAAATAAGATAGTAATCTGTGGGGGCTCGACAGTTCTGCACTGTAGTGACCCTTCACCGAACTGTGAATTTCCGAGTTAAGCACCTTAATTCGGATATTGAACAAACCCGGAGGGGTATAGTATTACTAGTATTATTACTTATACAGCCTATATTAATTCTCCTATATCGTTTTTCAGTGAAAAACACAGTAAGCGGGCCGGTTTTTAGGGTCAAAATAGCGATACTTTGAACCCCCCCACAAATCGCGATTTTTGAGATATCGATATTTTTTGAAATGGAAAAAAGCGCTAAATTAGTGAGTTACATTGTAACTGAGCTAGTTTAATACGCAAAACTGGTTGAGTTTAGTTCAGAAGTGGTTGCAACTATTTCGGTACCAAAAACCAAATTTTCGTGATTTTTGGAAAGACAGAACACTTTAAAATAAATATTTTTTGAAATTTTTTATTTAGGACAGTAAAAATAGTTGTTCAGACAACGTCCACTAGTGAATGGACAGGTTTTAAAACTCGTCAGCCGATAACCTTCCGGGTTACAGAGAAATCGATCTTAACGTGTTTGATTTAGTGGATTCATCGATCCGGAGGGGTACAAATAGCATAATTTTTCGCAACTTCTTTCAGCTAGAGCGTTTTTGATCGGATTTTTTGCATTGAACTAGATAAGTATAGGCCTTTTGAGCTCGGATCAATAATTTTTAGGTCGAATAGAACACAGAATTGGGAAAAATTAGCTGAGCTTACTAATAGAAACATCAATTATTAAAAAAAGTAAAGCGTGAAAATTTTTTAGGATTGTTTTTAGCAATTTCACCAATTCGGGAAGGTAGACCCTTCACGTTTTATTTAAAAAATTTTGGAAAGCCCTGACATCCCTACCAAAAGGTAGTGACGGTCAAATAAGGCAATTTTGAGCTGTTCTAGAACAAAATGGAAGGCTAAAGGCACGAGAAAACCTTAGTCGAGCCGAGATTAGGCTAGCGATAAGACCCTTCACCATTAGGGTGAATCGTCGAATAAGAGGCTAAACTTCAATCCGGAAGGGTCTTGGGAAGGACGACACACCCTTCCTAGTTGATTCAAACAGCATAATATTATCGGAGATTGTATCCGGATGGGTATCGGTTGGAAATTAAGAAAGCCTCTGAGAAGCCATCTTTACAAACCCGGAGGGGTCCCAATCCGGAGGGGTCTAAATTTTTACAAATACGGAGGGGTCCCAATCCGGAGGGTCTATATTTTCACAGATCCGGAGGGGTCCCAATCTGGAGGGGTGTGAATTTTTAAAAAACAGGAGGGGTCCCAATCCGGAAGGGTCGAAATTTTACCAATCCGTTGGGGTCCGATTTTTGTCAATCCGGAGGGGTCACAATCTTGCCAATCCGGAGGGGTATTATTTTTTCAAAACTTAAGAAAAGACAACAGAAAAGAAAGTAGTTGAAGGTATTAGGTTATTAAAAGATAGGCTGGGATCCAGTGACTGCACTGGTAACTTGCCTTTTGTAAAAAACAGAATCAAAACAAAGCAGGTCTGAACTCGGACATTCGCGACACTAAGTCTAAATTGATCAAGAGTGTGTAACTCAGTAGTGTGGACTGAAAGTCAAAACGTTTTTGAGAAAAGATTGCCCTGAGGATTTTAGTAGCTCTAGCTCGGGCATTCTGAAGGCAGATAGGTAACACAGGACTCGGTGGGTGCAATAGACGCCCACTTGAGAAAATTACTGCCTTCAAGCTTTGTCTGTTTGTAGCAGCACCACGCAGGGAACGCTCTTTCTTTGTATACAAGTTCGACTATTGTACTGCGACCAACTAAAAGTACAAAACACATACGTTTTTCATAGAAATATTCTTATTTTGTTATTTCTGGTTTTGAATCAAGAAAAATTGTGCTTGATTGGGTAGTGAGAACACTATCTTTTAAGTAGACTGATATCATCATCCTGTGCTAGCTTCACATCTTACAACTAATAATCGATTATTGTGATTAAATTGTATATACGCTGTACTGTGATAACACATAAGGATTCGTGGTCACTATTTAATAGAAACTTTTGGAATTTATTGTGTTGTGTTTTTATTATCAGTAGTCAGATCAAAAGGACACTAGCAATCGAATTGAGCGTATAGGCATTAAAAAGTGACAAATAGAATATGAGTCTAGACAAGTCAAGGATACCTAAGCTAGGTGATAGCTCCAGGAAATTCATACCTGAGAAACAGAGAAGAGCAATGACCGACCCTTTTGTGGAAAGGATCACACAAACCCGGACCGACAATGGGGAGACGGTTTCAGGCAAAAGGGTTGAGACCAGGAGTCAAAAGTCCTCAGAAGAGCGAAATGCAATGCTAGAAAAGGAGGTCCATCCGGACCAGGCCATGGATGAGAATCAGAAAAAACATGGACCGGAGGGGAGAGGAAACAGAAGGCTCGCGAGTGAATCTAATCTCTACTGAAATTGTGGCAACTAGAAGATCTCCCACAGACAATACCATGATGGCAGGCGTGACGGAGAAACAGGCAACATCCTCATCGTTTTCAGAAAGAGTGAAGAACACTTTTGGAAACACCTTGGAAACGATGGAAAGGAGGAAACCATCTGGTTTGCAAGCGAGACGGCAGAGAACACCAGGATGCTGGGTACCTTGATATGAAAGAAGAAGGACCGCGAAGCCAGAATCAGACGTGCTAATGGTGCCTGGGCCAAGGTGAAGAAATGGCTATTGAAGTCGAAGCTGAGCAAGAGAACAAGAGCTCTCGTCGTACAAGCGGTCGTAGAGTCGTCCCTTCTTTTCGACTGCAACGCTAGACCGTGGACTGTTGGAGACCTCAACAGATTCCAGAGCGTGGTAGACAGGTTCTACAGATACATCTGGAACAACGGAAAGGGACTGCCGCTCGTTCGTATGCAAGAAGAGGGCGTCAACGGCTACGAGGTCAGGAGACAGCTTGGAATTACATCGATCCGTTCCAAAGTGGAGATAAGAGCTCTGGAGCGCATTGGACATGTTTTCCGTATGCCAAACGAAAGGATGACGAAGAAAGTTGTTTTGGGGAGATGGCTTGAGGAGAAAACCGAGAATGGAAAACTGACCGGTGGACTAATCGCATACTGGAAACGGCTGATTGGAGAAGCAGGAGAGGACTGGACTAACATCAAAAACCTGACATAAACAACCGGAAAGCTAATCTGACACGGTGGGAGACAGACATGTGCGACCACACCAGAGGCCACACAAAGCCCACGAGAAGCCAAGCCAGAGTAGTGGAGGACGACTTCAGTTGCGTGTAGACCGGTTGCGACAAAATTTGCAGAAGCAAGGCAGGGCTTGTGCAACACGAGCGCAGAATGCACAGAGAAACCACGCTCGAGTTTGCCTGCCCCAAGTGCAAGACAACCTTCAAGGAAAAGAGCAGTCAGACAAACCACACAAAAGCCTGCGGCGGAGCCCCCAGAGGAGTATGTTCAGACTGTGGAAAGAGTGTGTCTGTATCAAACATGGCTAGACACAGGAAAACCAACTGCCGAAACGCACCGATAAACAGAAACAACGAGACGACAATAATACGAACCAGAGGATACAAACAATGCGACAAATGCGGGGCATGGATCATGAAGTCAAACTTAGCGAGACACAAAAATGTGTCATGCACGGGAAATACCTGCCAAGGCTCTATATAGAGCGTAACTGGCAAAGAAGAAGAAGAAGAAGAAGAAGAAGACTTTGGATCTCAAGTCAGCCTCAATAGTTCGACTCAGGAGAATGAAGCATACAACGACAGAGGGACTGGTACCATGGACCAATTTGGTGTAGTGAGGACAATAAGCAAAACCATAAACACATCAGGCCAGTCAAGAGACTTTGTGAGTATGACGAACTCGGAAATGCGAACTGGGGAGAGTAGAAACACAGGGCTAAGCAACGCAACGGCGGATCCAGAGGTGGATAATGAAAAGACGTCGAGGCAGAGAAGCAAAGCCCGAATCTCGACCAGCACCAAGCTACCTGGGATAGACAGGGTGACACCGCCACTTGTGACGCCATTAGTAGATAACGGATCATCAATTGAAGAAGCCTTGAACAACATAGTGGGCAATATAGGAGAGCAAAATGAACAGATGTCCATAAGAAAGGGTGAACTAGAGAGAGCAGTCCACGTTGAAAGAGAAAGTCTGCAGGAAGAAATAAACCGCAAAAGACAAGAAGTTGGTAGAAGCGAAAAACGCTTGAAGGAAAGAACGGACGAACACTTGGCGAAGAACTTGTCGCGAATGACAAGAGAAGCGGAACAAAGGGAGTTACGGTTAAGAGACGACATGGAGAAGTTAAGAACTCAACAAGAGCAGACTCTTGGGACTCTTGACACAAAGATAGTTGCGATGATGGAGAGGCGAACTCAGGCTATCATGGACAAGTTGGTCGGGCTAATAGGCAGCAGGAGTGGACCAAGAGAAGGGGAACCGAACTCGGGAGGTCCCAGCAGGGAGCCGAGGGTGAACTTTGATGACCAACAAAGGAGGAGGACATATGGATCCACTAGTGGTAGGGGCAGTTCAGCAGGCTATGCCACAGGGGATAATAGAACATGGTGCCCAAACATCAGAGGAAGTTCAACTGGCAATAGACAGACCTCGAACGAACGACCGACGCAAGGGACACATGCGACTGGGAGAAGTGGTTCCAGGAACAGGAGTCATGCAAGCCCAGGGATGAGTCATGCGAGCCAAGGAAGAAACAATCCAAGTGAATCGGACGGAAGGGAAGTTCCAAAAACAGAACCCTTATCAGGGGGCGATGATACTCAGGCGGGGCATTCAAGAGATGCTACAGCAATGGCCACAGCCTTTGAACCCCTAAACAGGTCTTTGGAGACATTTCTGACGAGGTTATCCAGAACCAATGAACGCAGTGAAACGTCCAGAAGAGTCTTTAAGAAACCAAGATGCTACAAAGACGAATCTGACGGCTGCATTGATACCTGGATAGAGGTGATGAAACTGCAATTTGAGGAAGAAGATCTGTCAGAAAGGCAGGAGTGCAGTGCGCTCACTAGTAACTTGGAAGGGACAGCCCTAAACTGTGTGATGGCCAAAAAGCAGTACCAGTGGGACACAGCTGAGAAAATCTTTGAAATCTTGTTATATCGTTTTGGATCAGGGGTGCAGGGGCACCAGGCAAAGATGCGCTTCGAGAAACGGACGCAACGAGAAGATGAGACGATAGACAAGTTTCTAGACAATTTGGAGATGCTAAGAAGGCGCAGCCAACCGGACGAGTCGAACAGGAGAATGAACCTGGTAGTAGCATCAAAATTCATCGATGATGTGAAGAATGATGAACTTCGAACAATGTTAGCAACACGTTACACACCACTATCAACCAATGCGCCAACACCAGAGGAAAAGAATATCTTTTATTGAAGATATTCTTTTCGAAGATATTGAAGCTCAAGTCGAAATAATATCTTTTATTGAAGCCTCCATCAAGATCTGGATTTTACAAGAACAATTATGGCAATTTTAAAAACGGACCAGCAAACCAAGGGAACAACTGGTATAAACCGAGGGACGATATGGACAAGAGGCGCTCTTAGGCAAATTGCAGTTCAACGGACCATCATGTGTCAGCATGCCCAACTTACAAACAAGGCATGAAAGCAATAGGCTTTAGCCTCGAGGACGGAGATGCGTTAGAAGTTGACCATGAGGCTTTCATGAGAGGAGTAATTGCGAAATTCGGCCCGAGGTGTTTCTTTTGTAACTTGGAAGGTCAGTTTAAATCAGAATGTCCGCCATTCTGGGATGCTGTAGCAGACATCAAGCATCCAAGGCATGAGGAAGCTTTATCGGGGTGAAAGCCAGCAAAGCTCGGCTATTGAGCGAAGAGGAGGCGCGCAGAAAAGAAAAACCTCAAGAGCTGGCAACGAAGAAAATGCAAGCGGTAACAGAAGAGACATGTGAACCGGAACCGGTGACTGCGGCGGACGACTTCAAGATTGATTATATGGAAGCCGCGAGGGATGCTCTAAATAGAGTGCAGCAGGAACTGGGAACGATGTAGATGGAGCAAAAAGTGAAGCTCGAATTGGAAATTGATAAACTACAGGAGAAGCTGAATACCTTCGAGGCAACAGAAATCGAAGAAACAAAAGCACCAAGTAGTTTGAGATTGAAACTTAATGTGATATCCGGGCAGAGGTTCGGTATGGTGCCAAAAGGAAGCAAAATACAGTCAAAAATCTTGGTAAAGGGACACCAGGTAATCAGAAATCTGAGTGAACCATTAGAGTTCACCTTGGTGCATTTGGACACATATGCAGATTATCTGAGGCAGGTGGAGCCACGCACTGAGTCATGAGCTGTGCGAGCACTACTAACAACGGGTGGCCCTCGCATAAAGAAGCTTCATGGGGCTACGTGTAAGTCTATGGACCATATCAAGTGATGCTGAATGTGGATATGATAAGTATTTACAACAGACAGTGACCAAATAGGACAGATCTATTTGGTTGAAGAAGAACTCAAAGTCCGTAGGATAGGCCATGACGCCATGATGGAGCAAGAAGCGGTTCACATTGGATACGAAGCAGATGTGACTGCACATCTGCTCGACACCAACGGAAAGTAAATCGGGCTTCTGGACACAGGAGCTGTAGTGGGCGTGATGCCGATAGAAACTTGGGAAAGAATGGGCCTCACGAGGGAAGATCTAATTCCGACAAATCTCCGACTGGCCGCGGCCAACCGAGGAGCGATTTAGGTAGCCAGAAGAACACCAATAACGGTCCTCCACATGGGAGGACGGGATATTTGGATGAGCTTCCTGGTAGTAGAGAATCTGGATGACTCCGACCAATTCATCTTGGGCAGAGATTTTGTCAGGAAATTCGACGTGATGATTGACTTGAACAACGGTCTAATAAGGATTAGGAACCCGGACCGGAAGTATTGTAAGTAACCAATTAATAGAATAATAACAGATGAAAATAAGATATCAATCTTTTTAGATAGAAAGGTAAAACTACAGCCGGGACAAGCAGTAGTAGCAAATTTTAGAATGAGAAATTTAAATTTGTTAAGTGATAGTAAACAAGTTTGTTTGGTACCGAATCCAAATAGTCAAAGTTCGGTGATTTTAGACGGAGCTTCTCGGTAACTCGAAACGGACTGTTTGTCAGTGTGTTATTGAACACACTGGACACCACGGTTTCAATCCAGCGTGGAAAGAAACATGCTTACGCTTTGCCGATGAGGACCGACTATGAGGAGACACAAAACTTGAAGAAACATAGTGTGAAAATCTGTCCTCATCATGCCAATAAAAATAAAATTTTAAAAAGGATTAAAGAATTAAAATCTATTCATAAATTGTTTTCAATGAAGTCCGAAATGCATCCGTAATCCGTTTTCTGAGTTGTCAATTTGATGCAAAGTTAATGACAACATCTGAAAACGTTTTAAAAATTGGGAAAAATTGCAAGGTAAAATGTAATTCTCTTGGGGATAAATGTAAAAGAATTGATTTCAAATTGTCCGAAGCATCCTATTAGGGCAAACGCATAAGCTGAAAAAAATGAGGCAATCCCCATGAGACAAAGCCATTGAAAAAATGAGGAAAAAATTCACAGACATTGGGTTGCTGGTTGTGCCCCTTGTTGAAAAGTTGGTTTTTGCATGATCAGGAAAAAATATTTTTGAAGCAAAACTGGAATCTTTGCTGCAATCTGCTGTTTTTTTTTTTAAACGAAGCAACCACTGATGAGGTGATACTGAAACTAGAGAAGGAATTTCATAAAGAATTACTTGCCTCGAAGAAAAAAGAAACGAGATTAGTAGTCAATTATCGTCATGCATTTTGACCGCCATTCTACTCGAATGTCACATTTTGCTGGCCTGCAGGTAATTTTTATTGTAATTGAAAGAATTTTGATTTGTTACTGAAATTTTGATTTGTTAATGAAATTTGTAATTTTGTCAAGTGTGTAAAATTTTTCGGTTTTTCGCTGGATTTGTTTGGCTTCATTTGTTTTTGCCGAAGTTTTCAGGAGTAAATGACGGAGTTAAGCGATGTTGTAAACGCGTTGTTGTTACTTATTATCATTTTACTACTGTTTTTGTTAAGTAGATAAAAATCATTATATCCATAGGAGATGGATCAATTCATTCTCTCAACTACTAGTGTCTCACACTCTGAAAAAGAACTCGATGTTAATTAAATTCAACTCAGGATATGCCAAGAAGCTAAAAGTTGTTGAAAATACAGTTTCAGTCTCTTCTTGAATCCGGACGAAGAGCAGTTTTATCAACACTCGGCAAGGGTAGTAAAAACCTCCAGATACCCCTCCGAATATTCGGGAACTGCTCTGTAACGATTGTAGCTGCACAATCGTTACAATTCGGAATGTTCTTCCAACGAAAATATCGATCGTAATTTCAATTTGTGTCTTAGGTCTGTTTTCTACTAGCAAAAACTGTTGTTTTTTTTGGTTTTTGCGCTTTTTTGTGTGAAAATGGTCATGTGTCTATACAGTCGAATTTTCGAAATTTCACATGTCAGGTAAAAACGACCTCTCCCAATTCAATCAATTTATCAAATAGGCCAATCCTTCTACTACTACTACAACTGAAAGAATTAATTCCCTTTAACATATATAAAGGCATCATACAGATTGTTGAAAGGC